CTGAGGAGTCACTCGCTTGATGTTTGGATGATCTTCCAGTGTCAGCACGCCATCCTTCTGTTTCTCGTTGATCTGAATCACCTCAAAATCACTCGGATAGTCGCTGGCTGGGTTGTTGCGAGGTACAATCCTCCAGTTCTCAATATCACTGCTTTTTAGTGCACTTGAAATAAACTTACTTCTAGCTTTAGCTGTGAAGTATCCATTAAAAGCCACAATATACTCTGGAACAAGAGTACAGTTTATCAGAACCAATGTTCAAAGCAGCCTAGTCATGCACTCAAGTTACTGAATATTTCTTTCTCTTTATTCAAAGCAAATAGGCACCATTTGAGGCACTTTTTTGTTTTTTGCTTTACAGGTCTGATATTTATTTCTGTACTACTTAAAGTTTGTGCATGATGAAGCGCTTAAAATATGATAAAGGTCCCCAAAATGAAGGCAGAATTGTGATAGCACAGAAAAGTGAGCGGGGTGAACACAGGAGAGGGAACGACGTATTGAGTTTTAGGGAAATTACTGACACCAGCTTCGACATGCACAGAGGATGTCTGTGGATGACTAGCTGGTCCCAAGAGTCCCTCGATCCGGGTAACTTGTGGGTGGAACAGAGACCCATCATGCAGTGCCACAATCACCTCAACAAGCCCTCTGTTAGCTAATGGACAACATGCCATTACCAACATTGCGTGTGAATGCTCAGGCACACACACAGCTCCACTATGGGAACAGATCTATTATCTATGACCATGACAAACTGAAGACAGTTTAGACACTGACTTCTGATAGAGTAAAATTTGTTTGTTTGTTACATGAAACTACAGGCTCAAACACAGCAGAGACGTTGTCAAAAATGGCATCTGTGCATTCTATAAGAACCACAGATGTTAAGTGCTGATTGTTCATCCTTCTTCCACAATGCTTAGCCATTCATACAGCACACCTACATTACATTTATCCCACAGTTCTACACGTACACAGCTGCCACACCAACACAGATTGCACTCTATACAATGGCATCTGTCCTCCTTTGACATTCTGTTCAGCATTGCAGACCATATTCAATTCAGCACCCATTTTATTTGCTCCTCTCTACGGTTATCCTTTGCCCTCTCAGGATTGATACCAGCCTCAGCTTGCCTTTCATTTGCTCTCTCTGCACTTACTTTGCTACTTTTCCACAAACGTATTATTGCTTTCAAACATTTTTCACAGAAAAAAACCCAAAACCACACATACTTCCCCTTGTCTTTCTCATTCTACTGAGTGTGTAAAACAAAAAGCTACGAAACCACAGCTAAGTGACCATGCTGGCTCACCTGAACCTCCACGCTCTATTTCCACTTTTAACATACTCCTTACTAACCCCCCTCTTCCTTTTCCTTGTTCTTCATATTCTGTGTCCAGTTAAACCATGAACCTTCATAAAATTCTTTCTCAGTCTGAATGCAGATAATTTAGATGTTCCACCCATGCCTCTGAATATTACCATTGCACAAATGCCACGATTCATTAACACTAACTTCAGCATCACATGGATTTATTTATTTTTAACTGCTCAACTCTATTACCATGCTCCACGACTGTCGAAGAGAACTCCACTTTCAAAGTCAGGCGAGAACATCCAGGACATATTTGAGCCTCATGAGAGGAATTCCCTAGTCTGGTACTGAAGTGTTTTTTGCCACAGAGTAAAATAACAACCAGAACAAACGAGATGTTTGCAAACTTCATGGTCATAGAAGAAAATGGTTTCATTCCAAGAATTTCATATATTCAATTCACACTCTTCTTCTTTATAAACTAGTTCATTTTCGTTTCAGAAAACGTTGATTTCACTGTGCCGTTCAACTGGATATTCTTAAAGCTGTGTCCGAAGCAAGTACAGATTTCATTGTCTTTTGAGGTAAAGCCTAATAAACAGGCTCATTTCTTTCTACGTTTCTTCTCCATTTTGTATTAAATGATTCGGTCACTCACGATATGGTAGCTGAGTCCTGTACTCCATTTCAGAGAGCAAAGTTAACTCCCTAGAAGAATTAGCTAAGTGGTTTACAAGCTGACCTGCAAGGCAACACAGCAAATAGTTACATCCACATTTATGTAAAATGCAGAGCCTGAAAAAGCCCAAAAGGCAGATTCCTTCAGCAGTTAGCCTTAGAAAGAATAAAGAAACAGTTTCATTTAGTAACTTTTCAAGAACACTTGAGTCTCTTCCTGGTTCACACCAGGTATCTCTGAGATACTCAAGTATTAACTTGGCAGTAGAGCAGATAACAGGGACAACTGAACTCTACTGCCCTTCACAAAAGCGGAATAAAAATGACTGATACGCAAGGCATACGCAAGGAAAAAATAAAAGCAAAATGAAGCATGATAGAAACTGTCCATGCGTGCTTCAGGAAGCGTGGTGGTGGGTTGTCTCTACTCAGGAACACAGACTATGTAGATAATGCTCTGGCATGTAATTTGACACAAAGAGCAGCAGGCTGAACGTCTATTCCTGCAGCTGGCAAGGACAAGAAATACCATCACAGCAAGCAAATTTTTAGTTCCTAGGCTTGAAAGAGATTATTGTTATGAAAGGAGGCTTTCAGGCTTTCCTGAGCAGGACCATGGCTAACACAACAGGGCACCTGAGAAAACGGGCTGGGTTTGCGTAACAGTGAGAAATTAAAGAACAATGTGGAAAACGTTTTTCACGTGGAGGAGCAGCCTCTTCCTGTCCTGTTCCAAGGTGGAATTCAAGAAACACTGCGATGCAATCCTGAACCAACAACATACAGTGGAAAGGCCGTGAGAAGATAAAGGAAGAAGAACCATTCTGCCCGGGCTGCCCCACAGCCCGATGCACTGCCCAGCACTCCCGCAGGTCGCAATGCCCGGCATGGGCGGTCACACCGCAAGTCCCTACCGCGACCGGGGCTGTTATCGCCTCACCGGGCACGAAGCAGCGCCGGGGCCGCCGTCCCACCCGCTCTCCCGCCCGCCGCGCTCACCGTGCCGCAGCCGCCTCCGGGCCCGCCGCCGCCATTTTGTGCAATGTTTACCTCAGCGCTCTCGCGAGAGTCCCGGCTCTGCGTGAGGGGCGGGCGCATGCGCACTGCGCCGCTGGGTGTGGGGCGTAGGGTTGCGTGCTGGCGGTGTGTTTTACCGTCTAAGGGAAGGTTGTGTTCTTCTGCGTACTGAAAATAATTATAAAATCAAAGAATTGTTTGTTATCATGTTTGAGGACATGACTGAATAGGGTTTAATGCCTCTGAGGGAATGTTAGGGTATGTTGTTGGTGGGTGGGAGTGACAAACAAGCCCCACTAGGAATACAGCAATAGCTTCATAACGCCATTTAAGTCTTAGATTAAAAAAAAATAAGGAATTTTTCACTCGGCCCTCCTTAAGTCCCATTTTCAAGTACACGTACGTCATTGCAGATGTACTACGCGCTGCTAACACCATAAGTTGAAACAAACAGCTGAGAGTGTGGTCAGTTGTGGGCAGCACGAGCAGACATGGCCTGAGCCCACTTCCCTGTCAGCCGACTCCCTCCTTCCCCCAAAAAGTGGAGTGCTCGGCTGCAAGAATGCACTACGAACAAGTGGTAAAGAATCACAGAACCATTAAGATTGGCAAAAACCTCTCACATCCCCAGGTCCAACCCCAGCTGTCTCAGTGCCACATCCCCACGGCTCCGGGACACTCCAGGCACGGCAACTCCTCCACTCCCTGGGCAGCTGTGCCACTGCATCACTCCTGTGGAGAAGGAATTTTTCCTAATATCCAACCTGACCCTCCCCTGGTGCAACGTGAGGCCACCACCTCTCGCCCTGTCGCCGTTACCTGGGAGCAGAGGCTGACATCCCCTCCCACAGCCTCCTGTCAGGGCTGCAGAGCTCTGCCCTGAGCTCCTCTTCTCCACGCTGACCCACCCCATTCCCTCAGCCGCTCCCACAGCACTGTGCTCAGACCCCTCACAGCTCCGCTCCCTTCCCTGGGCATACTCCAGGACCTCCACGTCTTTCCTGCACACAGGGGCCCAGCACTCAGCACAGCACTGAGGCGTGCCCCCAGCAGTGCCGTACAGACTGAAACGATCAGAAATGAGTTCATCCCACTCAAGGATCAGAAGATCTGAGCCTCAGTAGAGCAGCTTATTTGTCTTCCCAGGCTGGCTTGCAGGTTCGCCTGCAGTGTGCTGAGCCCAGCATCCAGGCAGTGCTGCTGGAGTTTAGGCGCAGACGTGGGCTGCCTACTCCATGCTATTTGCCTGAACACAATCAGAGCTGCTCCAAAAGTAATGCCATCTGCCCCATAACATCAGAGGCAGATGCTGATGGTATGGCAATGGAAGTCAAATCTTCCCACCAATATCCCATTACATGTTGTTGCCACATGACATATGGCAGCAGAAGGGCAGTCTGACAGAATGGTGCCTGACATGGAAGTGCAGATGAGGCATAGGGATGCGACTGAATTCCTCCATGTGAAAAAAAAAAAATGGCACTAACATTCACTGATGTTTGTTGAGTGTTTATGGCAACCGCACAGTGGATGTAGCACAGTGAGGGGTGGGTGGTACATTTTATCAGTGGTCACCACCCCTAGAGCAAGCTTTCTTCACAGCTGGGCTGCAAAGGCAGCCAAAAACTGTTTTCTGAAAAATTTATTAAGAGGAAATGAATCTGTTTAAATGGGCAACAGCCTGAGAGGAGCTCTATCCTAAAGACATAGTGCTGTGTATAAAATGCTGCACAGTTATTTTCATTATTTTGATATTTCAGTGTAACGTTTTAGAAGCACTACTAATGATGATATCAAATACAGAACAAATGTTCTGAATCTTAAGATACATCTTGTTCCAGGCAGCAAATATGTTCAAAGAAAGGACAGCTGTGAAATTTAGTCTCTACAAGAAATACAAGCAGTGCGATACCAGATGACATCTAGTAAATATATATACACATTTTTTAATATAAATAAAAACAGCCATACAGAATCAAGACATCAGTGACTTTTTTTTAATTGTCATATGCAACTAACTTTTGTTCTTAGAACACTCTTTCTTTTTTACTTTTTCTTAGCTAACGTATTTTTTTTTACAATCTGTTTCAATTCTTCAGTCACACTTCAGATTGCTGAAGGAATATTTAAAGCGTGGTCAAAAGCATTCACACTTAGAATAAGAAAGAAAAAAAACCGTTATCTTCAAATTCTTCTGCAGTTCTGTAAGACCTTTTCTGCCATTTAAACGACCTCCAAATTAGTATGACTTTATCAAAATTAAGATGTATGGTAAGTACCCTGTCCAAAAACAATATTTGCACTTAAAACATACAAGGACCTGCCATAAAAAGACCAGAAGACTCATAAACTGCATATTGATTGAATAGGACTGTCTTTTCAAAACAGCATGATTTGTTTTGGGCCCAATATCACCAGAGTTGGAGAATTCTCAAATTCTGTTAACATTACAAATCAAGATTACATAGCACTACACAAAAGACAGTCATTTACTATCAGAATTAAAGTTGTATCTGCTCCTGTCCTATTACCTTACAGACAAAGTGAACTGAGATCAACTCTTTGTCCTGGAGGAATGCAGAGAAGGAGCTGCTTAGCACAACGATGCAGGATCCAGACTTCTAATGTCTAGGTTATTGCTACAAGTAACACTAGTTACACTGTTAAGCAAGTTATGGATAAATTGCAATAAATCCAGGATTCACTTGACCATTTTGTAGCATTCTGATCAGATTCCAGTACTTATTTATAATGGACATCTGGATATTCCTATTTTGCTTTGTGTGTTAAAGCTTCCTTGCGTATAATTCTGCAGAAGTACTGTGCAAACCATGCCCAGATCCATTCAGGTAGACGTTCACCCAGTGTGAACTGTGGAGAAGCAAGGGTGACAAGGGAAGAGAGAAAGAAGAAAGGAACAAGAAGATTAAGATAAATAAACAGTTTGTGTGTGATAAATAAACAGTTTCTCAATCTACCACTAAAGTACAATACTTATTTGAACACAAGCAACTAACACTTTTAAGTAGTTGAATGTAAGGTTATTTAGCTATTTTGGAAAGAGTGTGTTCACACACTTACGTGTGTGCAGCTTGCACGGTGGTGAGGTTCTGCAAATAAATAATGAAGCACTTTGTTCAACAGCAATAGTGCCTACTTTCTTTAGTTCACAAATCTTGCCAGAATCCTTCCTGTTTCTTGTCTTTACTTTGGAGTAATCCACACTTCAATGCCTTCTGGCTCAATCAACAAGGTAATGTCATAAGGTGATGTAAGAGCCCACCATCTTCCCCAAAATTCAAAGTCATACAGAGAACCTGCATCCATGTAGCTTTGGTTAAGAATGTGCACTTTTTCCTGCATTATTCCATCTTCCTTGCCTACCCCGAAGTAGAAGTACAGCCCATAAATTAAGACTGAGCAAGAAGCTACTCTTGTTTGTACTGGATCCAATTCCCAATTGTATTACAATTCTAAAAACATGCATGTTCTTTTAAATGGAAAGAGTGAGATAACACTGCACAATGCCTTTAGATCCTATGGTATATGCTGTACTTTTCCAGAACGCTGATATAGTTTCATTCAGGCTCCTAAGGAATGAAAGTTGTTTTGTTTTTTTTTCCTGACAAACATTAAGTAGTTTGATGAATTCCTTTACCTCTAATGAATGCTTCCAGTAACCAGGAGTCCTTTTGGATAACCCAAGGGTAGAAATAGCATGACTTGCATACTCTTCAGCAGAAGGAAAAAAGAAAGATCTCTTTGATGTAACGCTGCTGCATGACACCATTTTTGTAGCAATTACAAATGGGGTTAAACTCTGAACAAAAATTCCTTTTGAAGCATATTCGTAATACAATGCTCTACTGAAATAGTCCAAGTAGGCCTAGAAAAACAAAAGCAGAAAAAGATATTCAGTTTTGTTTTTACAATGAAGTCCCAGAGCAGATTTTTATTAAAACTACAGAAAAGCTGTAGCATACTTGAAACATGAAGAAAGCACTAGCCTAATATCTGTGAATCAGAATGAGAAATTAGCTTGGCTCAGTCTCATCAGGAGAACAATGCTGATGCCATGCTGAAGATAGGGCTGTCCTGCATGGCCATTTCTCAGAGAGAACAATTGGTGAGTGAAAGGGTTTCTGCTCCCAAACGGCCTTCCAAAAACACAGTTTCCAACCCACTGTTGGAAAAACATCATCCACAAATGCTCTTACACCTACTTTGTGAAAACAACCAAAACCAAAAGCAAGGAAATCAACCACTACGAACACCCTAGGCTGTTCATGCACAAGGAACTTTAGGAAGCTAGAGCAGCTTGTACCCTTTTCAGTGCTTAAGCAACAGTTCATAGACCATGCTTGAAACCTGATCTCAGATCTAGATCAACGATGCTAGCTAAAGTAAGAATTTTTAGTAGTCTTCTGGTTTTTGCTCTTTTCCATTCATTGATATGGCTCAGGTCTACGTACAGTTAGCATAACAAAGGCACAGATGCTCTGCAACAGAGAGATAGGAATCTTAAGACAGATTCCATGCTGAAGAAAATCTACAAGAAGTCATACGTAGCAAGTACTTTCTTCTGCCTGCAGTAAAACCATCTACATTCTCCCAACAGGTATCTTGGAATGAGGCCGTTTGAGGGTTGGGTTCCAGCAGAGGGCAGCAACCATCTGCCCAAAGCAGTAACCGCTGTGTTGATACAGCTGGATCTGGAAGAGATCCTTCCACTATTTCCCCTGCTTCTGTGGATTAAGTGGCAAATTATGCTGCCAAAGTCTGCATCCTCATGCACATTCATATGTTGAGCATCACCTCCCTGTCCCATCCTATTCACTATTGACTGGCTTTCCTGAGGAAGAATAATTGTCTGTGGGTTCTTTTTCATTTCTCCCCAGATATTGTACAGACAGCACTGTAAGAAGCTGCCTGCTCCACCCAGCTACTTAGTATTAGCTGAAGCACTGTGGTGTGGGGTTTTTTGTTTGTTTTGCCACAGCTCTCATTGTAGCGGTAGCTTGTGCATGAATATAATCCCTCTTGCTACCAAATAATCAGTCTGCAAGTACATAAGTACACTGAGATATCTCTGTACAGTTCAGCTACAGAAGAGCCAACAAATTCTTCAGCCTTTCAGTGGGTCATAGAATTGCCACTACTGACCCATACATCATTCCTCCAAGGTAAATGACATTTCCCCTAGCAGTATGATTATGCTGAAGTCCACACATAATTCACATAGCTGACTTAGGCTCGAAGTCCATTACTGGTAAGGAAAAGTTTGCAGTGTAACACATGATATGCAAAAAAAAAAAAAAAAAAAAAAAAAAAAAAAAAAAAAAAAAGAAACCCACAGCCTATAATGCTTTTACTCTTGAGTGCACATTATTAAAACATCACAGCCCAACTTACTTTAGAGGCTCCATAGATCGTTAGCATTGGTGTTGGCTGACAACAGGAAGCAGATGAGACATTCACAATTGCACCTTTCTTCTTCTCTACCATGCCCGGCAACACGATATGCACCATCATGTTAGCAGAAGCAATATTTATGTTGATCATGTCCCACAGCATATCCTCAGACAGGTTAGTAAAATAATCTGGGTAGGTATAAAACAGTCCCACATTATTCACCAAAATCCCAATTTCTCTATCTTTCAGGCCCTCCTTAATGGCATGGTAAGCCTCACGCCCCTTACTGAAGTCAGCTACTATGAAATCTGTTTCCACTTTATAGGTTTCAGATATGTTTCTAGATACAGCCTCCAGCTTCTCTTTGCTTCGGCTGATTAAGATGATATTGACTCCACGTTTGGCCAGTTCTTCAGCATATGCCTTCCCGATACCATCTGTGCTACCTGTAATTAATAGACAAAAAAGTATCAGGGTGAAAGTCAGAACCAGTCCAGTCTTCTATTACAACAGTGCTTTTATAGCTTTATTCCCTTCTCTGAAGATTACATGGTACCAATAATGGTGTTGTGGTTTGAGACCAGCAAAGATAATCTTGTCAGCAGCAACCTTCTATAATCCCACATCCAGACAGGTTTCATACTGTCTATGACAACAGCAAAAAGCTTAATAAAAGGAGAGGATGTCAGGTGTGTGGGACTTAAACTGATAAATTGAGCAAGGGAGCATGTGAAACTCTCAAAGCAAAAACAGTACGTCGGTTGCACCTCTGTCAACCAGGCCTGCCTGCCAGCTCCATGGTTACTTACAGATCCTCATGTGTCCTCATATGTGCTTGAGAGACACCCTGCAATTTCTGAGAAAAGTTGGTCTGGGATTCTTCCCCAGTCAACACACAGAGTTCACCTGTGGAACTGAATTTACTAAGGTGCTCAACAATCATCACTACTCTGGCAAATTAACTTGTTTTCACCTTGCAGCTGTGACCTGACTTAATACAGGCCCTAACTTCTGAGCTCATCTAGCAAATCATATGAACATACACAAATATACTGCTTCAATCTCTTACCAGTGACTACTGCCCATCTTCCGTACCGCTTGACAATATCAATCTCACCAACCAGCTTTGGAATAACATGAAGCCTGAGCATACTGTAAGTGTCAAACACAAGAGTCAGACATTTTCTGACTGTGTACCAAGCTCCAACTATAGCCAGGGCCTCAACGTAAAAACTGCAGGAACGACTGATTTCTCTGTACAGCAGGTTGAAGCGATCCACTGCAGCCATGGTGATCAGAAGTCTTAAAAGGAAAAAGACACAGGCAATTATAATCTTCTCTTCAACCTTTTCAAACCTCTGAGATTTAGCAATTCCAACTGTCCTACACCAGGGAGTAGGAACTAGAAAATAGTTTTCACAGCATTATTATCAACAATGATGCAACACTAAAAATAACAGCAGCGGGGAAATTTCAGGAATCAGTCAGCAGTACTTTCTAGAAGAAAAAAGCAACAACAAAAACACACGATCCCTTTATCATTAGAAAAAGCACATTAAATCCTCCAGATGTGAAAATATGGCAAAGCTTCCATGAAGAACATGAGCAACACATATCAAAATACAGAGTAAGATCAATTTGATTCTATCAAGTTGCTGATGACATTGAGTGGTACAGCTGACACCATAGAAGGAAGCAATGTTGTCCAGAGAGCCTGGGCAGGCACAGGAAGGGGGCACACAAGAACCTAATGACGTTCAACAAGGCCAATTGCAAGGTGTTGCATTTGGGCCAGGGCAATGCCAGGTACGTCTACCTGAGAAGAAATAGTTGAGAACAGCCCTGCTGAGAAGGATGCGGGGATCCTGGTACACAAAAAGTAGGACATGAGCCAGCAGTGTGTGCTTGTAGTCTGAAAAGCCAATGGTATCCTGGACTGCAGCGACAGAGGGGTGACAGCAGGGTGAGGGAGGGGATTGTCCCCTTTACTCTGCCCTCATGATGTCTCATCTGGACTACTACACCCATGCCTGGGAACTCCAGTACAGGAGAGATATGGAGCAGTTGGAGCAGGTCCAGAGAAGATCATGGAGATAATCAGAAGGCTGGAGCATCTCTCCTGTGAGGATAAATTGAGGGAACCAGGCTTGATCAGCCTGGAGAGGAGAAAGCTTTGGTGAGACTTTGCTGCAGTACTCTAGAACTTGAAGGGACCTTATAAGCACATAACTTTCTGTATAGGCAGACAGCAGTAGGACAAAGGGGAATGGCTTTAAACTAAAAGACAGGAGATTTAGCTTAGATGAGAGGAAGAAATTCTTCACTAAGAGAGCAGGGAGACCCCGGCACTGCTGCCCAGTGAAGCTGCGGGTGCCTTATTCCTGGAGATGCCCAAGGCCACGTATGGGGCCCCGGGCAGCCTGAGCAGGGGGTTGACACCCAGCGCAGGGCAGGGGGCTGGAACTGGATGATCTCCTCGATGACTGTAAGAAATCGTGGAAATGCCATGTTTTTTAGTCCCGGTTCGTGACCCCAGCCCGCCGCTCGCCCCTTCTCCCCGCGCAGCGCAGCGGCCCTGGCGCGCTGCTCCAGCCCTGACCTCTCGGCCCGCCCGGCCCCGGCCCTACCGCGTCGCAGCACAGTGATCCCGCGCCCCGACGCTGCGCCGCCGTCACCAGAGCGCCGCCGGCAGCCGCGGGGCCTTATGGGCGCGCACGGCGTTGCCATGGAAGCGGCGGCCGTTGGGGCGGGAGCCGGGAGTCCGCTTGGCTCCCCGTCCCTTCCTTCCCGCTCGGCCGACGGCTTCTGCTGACCGCCGGGCCCGGACGGGCTGCTGGCCTTGGGCATCCGGCCCGCGTCCCTGCTGCCAGCACGAGCTGAGCTGCGGGAGCAGGTAATGGAGAGCCGTCCCGGGGCTGCAGGCCGGCGCTGAGGAGAACAGCGCCTTTGTGCTGCCGTGTGCTGAGGGGGTCTGGGCCGCGCCGGCACGGTGCTGCCCGCTGAGCAGCCGCACGCTCCGTAATCTGCTCGTTCCGGTCTCCTCTGCCTCTGACGGGTCCTGCCAAAGCTTTTGGACGTAGCGTCTGGCAGTAGCGCTGTGAGCCGCGCGGCGACCTGACACGGCTTGTCTAAATCTCGTATCTCAGAATGCTGTCACGCAGCAGAGACTTGGAGAGAGGCCACGCAGGAGCGGTCATTGCGCCAGAGGTGTTGAGAGAGACGCTGAGCAACACTGGAAATGAAGCTGCCCACGCACTGAGTGAAGGCTGTCCTGTCAGCAGAGGTGAGCTCTGGCAGCTGCACTGCTGGGAGGCACAGGGCAGCAGTGATTGAGCTGAGTCCACGCAGCTGGGAAAAAAACTGTTGTTGAGTATATAAGAGTCTGTTGTTAAGTTTGTTTTTTCCCACACTGAATTCACTGAAGGTCTTGCTGTAACTGAGGCTTACTGGCCCTTCCCCTCCCGCCATTCCTTGTTTCTTGAATTTCCTTTTTCTGGAAGCTTACTTTATGTATTGAAGTCATACATCTGGCCTTACCTCTAATTGTTTTAATTACAGTCATATTTGTGACTTGTGTACAATCATCCTATTTGTTTCTTTCTTAAGAGTCAGGACCAGAAGCAAAGCTAGAAGGTTCTGAGCAGGAATCTGAAGAGAAAACTATTGAAAATGCAATTGGCCAGAGGCAGAGTAAAGACAGCTTGAATAACTATAGCACTGGAGACACCCTCCAAAAAGTACAAAAAAGTAAATTTGTGGAAGAGCAGACAGTTTTTGTGTTGACTGATACACCATTATCTTTACGCATTAAAGTAGTCTTAGCGCGTAAATTAGGCTTTAGCAGTCTTGTTTAGCTCTAATTATTGTTAATTACATGTAATATACAGTGGATGTCCAAGATCCTAAAACATTGGTGCCAGTATCGTATTCTCACTGTATATTATAATAATACCTAAGACTTAAGTGTTTTGCCTTTCATATGTAAACAAATGCAATATTTCAGCAGTTTATTTTGTTACTAGTTATTGTTGTATTTTGTCTCCTATAGAAAGTTAAGCTTATTTTAATTAAAAAGATCTGCAAAAATCTTGGTTAGAACGCAAATTTTCTTGAAATTCATATTCAAGTGCTTTTCAGTATTTTTCTGAACTAACTGGAAACATGACACAATATTCCTCCACCCATACTGAACTGCAACTTGTTTTCTTACAACAGATGTTAAAACTGAACAGAAAGCCATCAACTGTACATCCAGAGCAGATCAACGGGATGAGCAAAAATTGGTTGGTGATCACAAGTCAGTAACCAGCTCATTCAGTCAAAAGACAGAAGAAAAAGGGGGCTGTGTGAGGTAAAATATTGTTTATTGATGGTTTTTATTTAAATCCTGGCATCACTGAAATCAGTAGGAGCTTCACATATTTACTCTCTACATGTTAACCTTAACTCTGGAAAATGATTTTGAAGATGAACTTGAGATTAATCAATAACTCAGGAATTGTTGATATGTACTTCTTTTTATTTAGCAAACTACCTTTTAAATGTATGATGTAGTTTTTAGTGGATTTGGAAAAATTTCTGCAAACTCTTGTGGGACCAGATTTGACCAATTCTCAGTATGAATTCAAAGGATGCACTGTATTAATTCATCTTAATGTAAATATTACAGCTGTCAGGACAATTTTTGGCAGAGGTATGTGAAGGGACAGAGGCCCTCCGAGTTACCAGGAACTAGGTTGGATAAGTAACTTCATTATCCCAGGCTAATCAGGCCATCAAAATTAAATTAAAATTAAAGTAAATTAAATAAATGTGAGTAATGATGTCAGAAGTGCAACAACTGCACATGATACTTAGCATTCTTAAGGAACAGATTTTATGGTTCTGTAAATTGCCTAAGGATGCTGATGATTTGATTAAATGCTGCTCGAATAGCTCAATGGAAACCAGAGTAATACACCGCATGTACACTGTGTATAGTAGCATACTTGGGCTCACAGTGCAAGAAAACAGTATGTTTTAGAGATTTTGCTCAACATTTATAAATCCTTCATTCCTCCAGAGGTTTATTTCAGCCTGTAGAGCAGTAACAGGCTGACAATCATATTTGGTATTGCCCCAAGAACTAGTCAGTTTACTGCATTAGACCTTTGTTCTTCAGCAATATTGAAGTTTACAGCATGGTAAGTGACTGTATCTAACAGAGAAATCTCAGAGTTCATGGTGAAAGATACACCTTCACTGCCTTTACTCATGGTGTTGTTTGTTTTGAAAATACCTGCTTGCCAAGGAAGTCTTACTGTTAAAAGTTTTAGTCCTACAAATAAGACCACAAATGCCAAGTTCAGTCTATTAATAAGGGACTTGGAAGTGGAAAATAATTTTGTATCATATAGTATCATGCTATTGCAATATTTCTTTAGGTGAAGGATATCTACTACAAGTTATATTTCGGGTGGAATTTTGTTTTAAAAGAATTTGATCTTCCTATGCAGGAAAAAATCTGTGTTTTCAGCTTCAGAATGTTTTTACTAGATATCTTCTTGATGGGTTCCCAATTTTATTCCCTATGCTAAAATTGTGTTTAGCTGTGCAGACTGGCCTCCAAAAGAGTATCCAGTTATTCTTTGTAAAGTTTGTGCTGGAGGACTGCCACCTCCATGGAACTATCAGTGCAGTGCTCTCTAGAGCAGGATCTGCAACAACCGCAAGTTTATCCTTGGTCTCTGCACATCTGTAGCCCTGGGCTTCCCTTGGGATCCTTTTCTGGGTTCTCACTTGAATGAATGCTCTCGTAAACAGAACTGAATGTTAAGTAATTACCATTTAACTGATGCTGCCCATTTTCTGCTCTGGCATTCCTAGCCAATTAAAGAGGTGTGCTAAAATGTTACTGGCTGCCAGCCTTTCATCAAAATGTTAGGTTGATAACTATTGACTTTCTAGTCTGAAATGGTGACTCAGGGTCCTAGGTGTTGCTTATTGGCTATGCCAGCAGAGATGTTGCACCAAAGCAGCAAAAAATGGAGGAAAGGGCAGAAGAAGAAATAACCAGTCTAACAAAAATTCATGCTGCTCTTTTTAAAGAAGATGAGCTCTCTAACATCCTACCTACATTCTCTTTTTATAGCAGAAATAGGAAGGGCCTGGTAACACACTTCAGGCTGGTATGAATGGAAAGCAAATCTAAAAAAATGTAGAGCTTTTTCACTCTGAGTATCGTCTTGTAAGCTGTAGCTATTTCTCTTGCATAGAAGAAATATTAATTATTTTGCATTGAAATCTGTTTTATAAAAAATAATAGAATGTGTGCTGAAGTTTTTTTTGCTTCTGCTTCCTATTATTCTTTTAGAATGACAAAAAAGATTCTGCAAGACATTTGTAAGCAGCAAAAGTTGTACTTGACCCCATCCTTAAATGATACGCTTTACTTGCATTATAAAGGTAAGCCGTGTACAAGATTGTATGGATGTATCACTCTAAATAGTATCCTGGCAGGGAATCTAGTTTATGGCTCACTGACGTGAGGTAGGTATTTGAACATCATTTTAAATGAGAAACATAATTTAATTTGATATAATAATGTAATTGTGAAACAAAACGAGCAAATATGAAGGTAGAAAAGTGAACCTTAGGCGATTGGCCTGATTCATTTTGTAGAGTCATTCAAAAGATTGATAGGAACCAAGAGGCACTGCTGTTTTAGAAAAGATGTCTTAAAGTACTGATCTAATTCATATGTTTTATTTTTAAATGTCTTTGTGTAACAAAGTTGTTCACCAAATTTTGGGACTTCTGTAGTGACAAAACAACAGTAAACACACGCTGTATGTTCTCAAATACTACTGAAAGAATAAGTTGCTAGAACAGGTCACCCTTTTCTGATCTCTGAGCAGTTTTTCCGATTATCCAGCATGGTGAATGGTTTTAAATAAACACAACATGCTAAACTTACCTTCAACATTTGACTTTATGTTTACTATTTTCTCAGTATTTAAGAATCTAAGCGCTCCACAAGATGAAGACCAGAATAGGTACCTTGTAGGTACATTTTCTCCCTTAATGGGCCAATTGAATTGCTAGAAGTCTTACCATCAGTTTTAGTGCAGGTATTCTCACAGGCTGTTTCAGCAGCACTGGCTTAATGAATTTATGCTTTGAATGACTTAATTTTTAGCCAACGCAGTTTCAGTTTGAAACATCTTTTTTGGTTTTTTTTCTGCAGGATTTGACCGCTTGGAGAATCTTGAAGAGTACACTGGGCTGAGGTGTTTGTGGCTGGAATGCAATGGCTTAACAAAAATTGAGAATTTGGAGGCTCTGACAGAGTTGCGCTGCCTCTACTTGCAGCTCAATTTAATTAACAGAATCGAAAACCTGGAGTCCTTACAAAAGCTGGATTCCCTCAATCTGAGTAACAACTATGTCAAGACCATTGAGAATCTCTGTAAGGACTGCTGGTGAAGGATGTTTTGAGTTACAAGAAGCCCATAGTCATAAGATTTGACAGTAGTTTCATTTTTAAATTATTATTATTTGTATTAAAATGTTGCACAGTATCCAATACCGAAGTCCACGAGGCGACTATCAAATCAAATCTATGTATTTTAGTTTAACAGTTCTGCAGTTTAAGTATATGAGGAAACAGAAAACACATAATTACTACTTAAATACAAAGACCCAGAAATGTTTAGTGTTTCCTCTAGTGCTGCACCCTCAGCAAGTTTGCTGACGACACCAAGCTGAGTGGTGCGGTTGATACGGTGGAAGGAAGGGATGCCATTCAGAGGGACCTCAACAGGCTGGAGGGCTGGGCTCGGGTGAACCTGATGAGGTTCAACACGGCAAAGTGCAAGGTTTTGCATTTGGGCCGGAAGAACCCCAGGCACCTGTACAGGCTGGGAGGAGCGGTCCTTGAGAGCAGCTCGGCAGAGAAGGACCTGGGGGTCCTGATGGATGAGAGACTGAATATGAGCCAGCAGTGCGCTCTGGCAGCTCGAAAGGCAAATGGGATCCTGGGCTCCATCAGGAGAGGGGTGGCCAGCAGGGACAGGGAGGTGATTGTCCCTCTCTACTCAGCTCTTGTGAGGCCCCATCTGAAGTACTGTGTCCAGGTGTGGAGCTCTCAGTACAAGAAAGACATTGAGATTTTGGAAAGGGTCCAGAGGAGGGCGACTAAGATGATCAGGGGGCTGGAGCACCTCCCCTATGGGGACAGGCTGAGGGAGTTGGGCTTGTTCAGCCTGGAGAAGAGAAGGCTGCGGGGTGACCTCATTGCAGCCTATCAATACCTGAAGGGAACCTACACCCAGGAGGGGAGTAAACTCTTCAAAAGGGCTGATAACAGCAGGACTAGGGGAAATGGTTTTAAGTTGAAGGAGGGAAGATTTAGGTTGGATGTTAGGGGGAAGTTCTTTACTAGGAGAGTGGTTAGGCCCTGGAACGGGCTGCCCAGGGAGGTTGTGGATGCCCCGTCCTTGGACGTGTTTAAGGCCAGGTTGGACGGGGTCCTGGGCAACCTGATCTGAATGTGTATGTTTGGTGGCCCTGCTAGGCAGGGGGGTTGGAACTACATGATCCTTGGGGTCCCTTCCTACCCGGGTGATTCTGTGATTCTGTGATTTCCTCACTTCTTAATACCATCTCGGTACTCCTCTGTTTTGCAGACAGGCTGTCAATCTGTGTTTTACCATTTACTTTACAGTTACAATTTGCTTTGGCAGTTGCAGATGTGATACCAAATCTTTTACATCTGTTAAAGGACTATTTTCTTTTATGTACATTAAGAGTAATCTAAAACAGAAGTTTTTGTGTAACTAACTAGTTTGAAACATGAATTAACAACAACCAACCAGTATTAAAACAAATAACTATTTTTCCTGAGGTGAAGGAAGCAGCTTTGGAGGCATAGCCAAAAAATATGTATAAGTAGAGCAACAAACTTGAGAAAAAAGCTACCCATGTTTCAGTACAGTGATGTTGAAAATTCTACTTGCTCCAGACAGTTTTCTGTGAAGCAGTGGCTCTCTCCTTTCATTGTGTTCTTTCTGTCTGACAGCTTGTCTAAAAATCCTGAACACTCTGCAGATTGCTCACAATAAGTTAGAAACAGTGGAAGACATACAACACTTGCAAGAATGTCCAAGTATTTCTGTTCTCGATCTTTCCCACAACAACTTAAGTGATCCAAATATTGTAACTGTTCTGGAGACAATGCCTAATTTGGTAAGCCAAATACAGCTGAGGGTATGGATTAAGCGTATGAGTGAATCTTACGAAGCTGTTTTGTCCAGTAATCCAGCATGTGATGGGTCTTGATCTAAAATAATTGTTATTAAACATTATTAGCCCTTTTGTAGATGACTTACGGCAACTGTTTTATTCACCATTTGTTTTTGAAAGGTTAGAGGCAGTGCGTACCCAAGCTGTATGCTTTTCGTTTGTTGGATTGTTAGTTTGTTTGCAGCTCAACTTTTAAAAATTATTTCCATGTTTCTCTAGCATGTGCTGAATTTAATGGGAAATCAAGTGATTAAGAAAATCACTAATTATAGAAAAACACTTACTGTTCGACTGAAACAGCTAACGTATCTGGATGACAGACCAGTATTCCCAAAGGATAGGTAAGAAGCAGAGGCATCTTTTCACAGCAGTAAGGCTCAAATGATCTTGTCTATTTTTTAATAAATATTTTCATGGAAAGAAAAGACTGGTTTAATTTACTGCAGGCAGGTGCCTTTCATTACAATAGAATTATACTAGAGAGAGCTACATACCTTTAAAAAAAAAAAAAAAAAAAGAAGATAAGTATTGAACAGAATTGTTCTACAGGAATGTCTACAGACTGCAGAATCGAGTCATAATTTCAACAGAAGCTGAGCAGGTGTCTGGGAAAGCAGAGCCATGATCACAACTCCTGATGGATCTCTGGTGTTGTAACCACTCATGCTTAGATAATATTATTTCTTTTGTTGCCGTTCAGCTTGCAAGAAAAGATGCAGGTGAAGCCCTGCTCCATAAGGGATTGCCATTGCTATCTTCCTTTTCCCTGTTGAAAATACTTGGTGCTGTTACAAACTATTTTAAATTTCTCTTCTGTCAGAGCAATGAGCTTTTTGGCTGTATTACAGTGAGCTCTTTTCTTTTCCATAGAGCCTGTGCAGAAGCCTGGGCTGTTGGAGGGCTTGAAGCTGAGAAGGCAGAAAGGGAAAAATGGGAAACTAGAGAGAGAAAAAAGATCCAAGATAGCATTGATGCTTTAGCTGCAATCAGGCAAAAAGCATTGGAAAAGAAGACACAGAAATATATAGAAGAAAGAGATGCAGTTGCAAAACATGGAAATGAAGGTGCAACAGACATCATAGAAGGTTTGTGGTTCATATTTTAGATGTTTGTCACAGCTTTTCCAGCTGTTGTGCTCTGCACCAGAGAAAGCAGGTGCAAGTCAGTGCCACAGTAGCTGCAGTAAGTATTGGTGAATGGAGGCAGGTAGCAACCCAAAAGCTGTATTTCCCCAGAATGCAGAATGGAGCTGGATTCAGGCACCTGGGGGCTCCAGCACAACCCCACATTAACCACAAGTCCGCTTCCAGGTACCCCTGTGCTGCTGCTTTAATTAACTGTAACTGGTTAAACTTAGAGCCTATCCACAGTGATAACGCAGGGAATTGGAGGAAGGTCTTTAATTAGTTAAGGTTTCACTTACTGCCCTTTTCTATGCCACTAATTCTCATTATTCAAGATAGAATAAATTTATGACCACTGATAATCCACAGCCTAACATTTTCAAGGACATCATGCATGTTTCAGGATAAACAAGACTGAAGCCAAGTGATATGGGAGTACTACCCTGTAGAGAAGTATTTGTGAGGTACATTTTGACATTGTACAGGCTCTGAAGTCAGACATAGCTGACTAACAAGTAAAAGTTTTGCAATAAGCTGATAGATTGCATAAAGTAGATGATACTGATCATCAAAATGTGCAAGCATATATTTTAAATGTAGTGAGTCCTCTCAAATTTAAATACAAATATAGCATAATTATTTACTGTATTGCACTCTCTAGCTGAGATCTTGCTGGAGAACTGTAGTTGCAGGGGAACTGAGATGGGAAGACCCACAGCAGTGCCACAGTGCTGGGAAGACTGCTGATTTGTGAATAGCTGCTCAAGCAAACCAGGAGCTTTTGATGTGCATCTTTGGCTATGCTAATACGACCATATGCAGTTTCGATATTTATAATAAGTAACAACAGATTAACTCAGCAGTTCTAGTGAACTCATTTCTTCTATAGGAGCATCTGCAAATTCAGGTAACGAAGAAAATTACAGTGCATCAGAGATATCAAATTTATCAGAACAGCAAGAACCTCAAGAGAAGACAGAGAAATTTGGAAATGAAAATTTTGATGCTCATGATGATGTGAGAACGCTCCTAATAGACAGAGGAGGTAACACTGACTTCCCATCTGGAAAGATTCCTGAGGCTGCACGTGAATCAAATTCTTACAAATGCTCAGACTTCAACAGGAAGATAGATGGTAAAGTACGGAGTGAAGAATCAAACCAAACTGGAGAAGTACAGATGATAAGCCCAGCAGACTCAGTGTAGCTCTCCTTTCCTGTGATTCCAAACAGCTGATTCGTAGCTGAAAACATTCTACTGGATTTCCATAGCAATGAGCTGGAAAGCAAGTCATTCTGGATAAAATATTATTTTAATATTACAAAGAAAACTATTCGGAGTGCCCAGTCTGCAGCTTCTGATAAATGAAACTGGAACTCTACTTCTCATGTGTGCTAGATTTAATGACAGTACAGGAGAGCTTACAGGCTTCCCTTGCTCCCAAGTCTGTATAGTGTTTCTTCCAGCAAAAGCTGGGCTTCACTCAGAGACAGCTCTGTGCCTTCACACACAGAATACTTTTTTTTACATGAATACGTGAATGCATTATTGAAAAGTACAAATATTTATGAAATGTAAAGGGAACCAAGGTTATGACAAAACACTGAATTCGGCTATTTGCTTCTACAGCGCTCACTGTTGCAGCACACAATCTTTTATTCAGCTAGTTCTCTTCAACTTGCTATCTCTATTTCTTAGATCTTCCAATACAGAAGACAGCTTCTGAAAGGGCTGTGGTTCCTGAACTGGCTGAGTGTGCTGAAATCGAGCAGATCAAATGTGAGACACCAGAGAAACTTCGACTTGGTGTATGTATTAGATTCTGGTTTTATTTTCAGATTTTGGTTTGCTTGTTGTCTACTCCAAATTAATTCCTTTGACATCCTGGCTAGATAAAGTATATGGCCAGATTTCCAAGAAAGGTCCACTACTAGGAAAAGTAGGAGAAAAAAAAAAATTAAGTGGAAAGAATTTACTACTGTTACCAAAGTCTGTTCTGTCCTTTGGCTATTAGATAGCCTGAAGTTGAACTTCTAGGTCTAAGATTTCTGTGGAGAGAGTTAGCAAGGACTTCCATGTGAAAAATAGAAATCGCAATAGAAAGAATCCAGGGAGCAAATACGTCCTTCTAAGGAAAACTCCAATGAAGTATTCATTTGAGAAGAGAAACGATCATAGGAAAAACATAAGGAGCACATAGCCACCCAGTTATTGTCAATATTAGCTGGTAATATTGGATGTTATAATTGGTTCTCAAAATAAAACTTGCAAGCATATTTCCATGTTTCATGTAGGCAGTAAAGGATTAGCATTTCTAATGTATTCTTGTTTTCTAAGATTTCTATCTGATGATGCAAACATTTAAGCATTTCGTCATATTTGGCCACGAAGAAATGAGTGTGACCACTGAGAAATAGAATTTGAGTGCAAAGGAGTATTATTCAGTATACTCTAGCTACAACCCTACTGCAAAACCGACAGTGCCAGATTATGACACAACTGCAACCTGTTGAGTTTAGGATTTTCCAGAGTAGTTAATATATCTTGTGCAACACTGCTAACTAAATTCTTACTGAAATGCTGTAGAAAAGTCACTTACATCTCTTCTGTGCTCTTAATGACTAGGAAAAAAAAACATCCTATTACTGTAAAGCTCAACTCATTGTTTCAGTAAGGGCTTATTGCTGCATCTTCCTATTCAGGTGTTTTTGATAATAGACTTAACAAGGGTAGTGGAGAGAACTGGCAGCAATTTCAAGTATATACAATGTGATTTTCATAAGCAGAACCCGCAGGGCTGAAATACAAGCTCTTTTCTTGCTGCTGTATGGCACCATTGTGTAACACAATATAAAAGAAAAGCTTCAGCATGCCTACATGAAGTTTCTTTCATCACAGAAGAAGTAGGAATATTATAATTCTACAGAAGGGGAAAAAAAAATCAACAAATCTCATACTAATGCACATTTCAGTGTTCTATGCTATGCTGTTCTACAGCTGATACTTAACGTCAGGAGCTTCTGGCAGCAACCTCCAATACTTACGCTATTGCAGATTTTCCAGAGGCGTTTAGCACTGACATAGCAGGGGGTGGCTGAGAAGATGCCGTAAATTAGGATTTCTGAAGAAGTCTGTAGTCTTTATTCAAATACTGGAGCCCACGGACGGTCTCAGTAGTAACACAAGTGAGAAGAGAGGGGAAGATTTATAGTGCACTGGATCTGACGTCCCTGTGTCGAGCAGAAACAAGTCAGACGTGCACAAACTGGTTTTCATGCGTAATCTTCAGCAGCGTTTGAACTAACAGCTATTTCCCTTCTGACACCAACCTACAATCAATCCTAATGCATGCATTTTTCATTCTAAAACGGTGTGAATTCAGGATGTGCTACACCAGCACGACCACATCAGGAAACAAGTTTTGTTTTATTTCTGTACACGTCTTCACATACAAGACCCTGCAGATCAGATGATCCTGATGCTGCTGTGCCAAGTGAATAGCTGTACAAAACCAGTCTGCTCTAAAACATAGTACTAAAGGAGGTGCTTTTACCAGCATTAGACTGCAGTGAGAAATTGCTGAAAGGTATTACGTTCTACCTGAAATTTTGTATTTTACCCTCCATTTTTGCTTTCATTGTCAGCAACTAGCGTGTGATTTAGAAAATGTTTTCTAATGGAAACCTGGAAGAACTGATCCTGTCTGAGGGAAAAAATTCTGAGCAAGTTTCCAGTTCCATTTCCTTAATTACATGGCATTCACAGTAAAACATTTACTGAGAAATTGTTTCAAAAAGTCAGAAGATCTTATTTTGGCTTTTACCAAAAAGATGAATTACAGTTAAGATTAAGTTTATTGATAGATAAGAGACAGCCAAGAGATGTAAACCACATTTCCTTTTAAAATTGTGTTAGTGTCTTCTTGTCTATCCATCTTTCTTCCTCTTTTTTCTTTTTTTTCCTTTTTGTTTTCATAGTCAGAATAGTAGAAAAGAGCATTCCACTTGGCATTGTTTATCCCTTTCCCATTTACTATTTCTGGAAGCAGATGAATTGTCTGTTTCCCACATGTTTAACACAGAAAACTGTCATCTTGGAGAGCATGACAGTCCAGTTTTTCTAGTTGCAGCTCCTTACCTGGAACAGCACTGTATTAAAAATATTCCCAGGGAGATGAAGATGTCATATTTATTATTTGAGCTAACTTTTCCCACTGACTTGTGATTGTCTTCAGGAACTACCTGATTTAGAAGACACAGATGTAAAGGAATTTCCTCCAGAAGAGGAAATATTTATTCAAAAGGTAAGATCCTTAATTGTACCATTGATGAAGTTTGCCTAGCTAATGTTTTGCAAAAGGAAGGTAATCTCAGTTGTGAAATGCTGTTTTGGGAGATACAATCAGTTGTGTATTTATAAACTAAAATGGATGTTTAGGCAGATCTTGTTTATCCCCTTGTAAATTTTCTTTTAATTTGATTTTTTTTAAGTTTTACCTTGTAGAAATTGGAGAATGAAAAACTAAAGTCCAAAAATGTGACAGTTAAATAAGATTAGTTTCTTATAATATAGTATTGAAATGAAGATTATTCATAAAGTATACTTCACCAGTACGAATTAGCTGCAGAGGATTGAGTAGGTTGTCCAGATAGCCTACTGCTGAATAAAAGCAAACCTTTCAACTTAAAATACAGAGATCAAAACTCTTTGGCTTCACTTTAAACTAGAGAGACACAATGCAGTGCCAGCCCACTTGGTCCATGCTCAGATTAATCTGGTAGGCAAGACTATAGACAGAAACAGAAGAGGAAGAAGCAAAATAAAACAACAAAGATTGAAAGCACAGCTTTGATTCTTGTGCTGCTGGTGGCTCATATGTGCCGTGCTGGAAGTAGGCTGATAGAGTATGCAGTTCTGCAATAGCTTGGAGGGACTTGTAAAATTTTGTGTAAGGCATGGGTTTCTCTTGCTCTTCTGGTTACGTGCTGTACCGGTGTCGCAAAATGTCTTGGCCAACAAAGCCTCCAGTTAAATAGAAGATAAGAGAAGGAATAGAGCAGGGCACAAAGAGGATTAATAAAGCGTGTTGGCAGCTCTCGTACTCCCCAGGGCGTTTGGTTCTTAAATGCAGTTAGTTAAAGATGTCAGATCCCTCTTTTGGGCAGTGTCTGTAAGTCCTAGCAAAGTTCAGTGCATTGTGTAAGTGAGTCATGCAAGCATTGCTCACAGTGGTGAAATGTAGACCTCTTGGTCTTGGTCTTGCTGCTTTACTCCCCAAACCCTCCACTTCAGAATAAGTTCTTCAGCAGAAATCCAGCCTTGAGTTCCCATTGCCTCTTAATTAAGGTCATTTCCTGAGCACTGGAAGTGCCAAAGTTAAATTCTTGTTATGATTAAGGTAATATAATAGATCTGAGCCCATTAATCCTCTTGCCCTTGTCAGTGACTTGCTCTTGAAGTATGTACTTTTGGGTTTTTGTTTCTATTCAGTCTGATATAAAAAGAAATTTGTGTTCAGGTTGACTCAATATCAACCAGCTTGAGTAAATCAAAGGGCCGTGCTACTCTGATCTGGTCTACGCAATTAGGATCCTCTGTTTTTTTTTAATGTAATGCTCCTATTCACTTTGGTACAGTGAACTGGAAAAGAAAAGAGTTCTAGATTTCAGCAATTGCTATTGCTGAATTGCTGCAATTACCTTTTCTTGTAGGAATGATTAGTAGCTTATGATCAGCTCATGGCTAATGTGTGGCATACTTAACCCAAGATCAGTTTGCAAAAAAGCAGAACAATGGCTATGAAGCAGGTCTTCTGTACATTTTGACAGAAAAACACATCAAGACTAGCAATAATGTATGGATCCAAGTGATATTTACCTATTCTTGCTGTTACATCTAACATAGTAATATTTTCAATTACATCTTCTACCTTTCCAGCAAGAATATCACCCAAAGATTGAAATAATTTCTGAAACGACAAATGATGGTGATTCTGCATTAGAGGAAAGCAATAAAAACACATTTGAGGACTCAGTAGGAGAAGCTGCAACATCCATTTTTTCAAATGTGCATAAGATCCATAAAGAGCAAGAAAAGGAGTGCTTGAGACCCCTTGTTAAAGAATTCTTCACAGAGCCTTCTTATTCAGAAGAAGACAAACCAGCTAAGCCCAGTAAAGTCTTGGTACAGGAGATTACCCCCCAACCTCCTAATAACCTACTGTTGTCATCAGTCTGCAGTCAGCCAGATGACCCCAGCCAACAGGAAGGGGGCAGAAAGATCACCATTGCTTGCTCTGGTAAGATTACAGCCGTGCAATTAATCACAGAGAAGAATGGGTGGCACATATGTGCTGACGTTAGGGATGTGTTGAGCTCTTGTGGAAAAAAAAACAAAACAAAAAACTGTAAGTCCACAATGTAACTTAACAGTCACCTCTGCTTTTTGTTTACATAGGAATCCTAATGAATTAAAAATTAAAGTGTTCTCTTTTTTTACACGAGTCATTGCTGAGTTTAATCTAAATGTTTTTTAAAAACTGGGCTCCACACTTCTATTTCCAGAATTAGAAATCACCAGTGAGTTTCACCTACCTTTAACTTGCCTTTCAACAGGGAGTAGTAGTGGTGGAGGAGTACAGCTGCTGGCTGAAGGTGAGGAGTGTTCTCATGAACCCCATGACGACACGGACAGTGAGAGGGGATTAGACTGATGGCTTTCAGTACAACAGATCATATCTGGAGCATCATGCCTGGCTGACTGCATACGGCTGCTCTCAAGATGCAAAGCTCAGCAATGGAACTGCTTGTTAAAACAGACCTTACACTTATTATAAAAACCCAGTGCCTCAAACAAGAGTATTTCAGTCATTCAGCACTGATGTTGCTCCAACACGTGACCTTCAGGGCAGGTAAGGAGTGCCTCGTGTTCCCCCTTCCAAAGGTGCTCCTCTCTGGGGCAGCTTTCCAGCTGTACTACCAGTAGAAGTGAGGGCACTTGTGTTTTAAGGTTAAATTCTACTCTGTCATGTCCTTTCCTTTCCATTGCATCCTTCTAGAAATGTTTCTTCTGTAACTTATGGTTTGTTACTTAGTTTCAATCCATATTGCAACATGTTTCTGTCATTTGAACTAAATAAATATTCTACTTGTAACCTATCATCAATACATGTCATACTGGGTAGACTTTAATGACAAACCAAGATTTTAAGGGTCAAATATTCATAGACACTGTGATAGTTCACACAAAACCAAATGCAGAAATAATGTCTGAGAATGGAAAATATGATTTTACCTTTTAAGGCAATCTGTTTTTAATTTTACCTTTTAAGGCAATCAATGAGAAAGGCCAATGGCTTACTGGGGTGCATGAAAAAGAGCGTGGCCAGCAGGTCAAAGGAGGTGATCCTCCCCCTCTACTCTGCCCTGGTAAGACCTCATCTGGAGTACTGCGTCCAGTTCTGGGCTCCCCAGTACAAAAAAGACAGGGATCTCTTGGAAAGAGTCCAGCGGAGGGCCACGAAGATGGTGAAGGGCCTGGAGCATCTCCCCTATGAGGAAAGGCTGAGTGAACTGGGTCTGTTCAGCCTTGAGAAAAGGAGACTGAGAGGGGACCTGATCCAGGTCTATAAATATCTAAGGTGTGGGGGGCAGAATGGCGAGGCCGGACTCTTTTCAGTGGTGAGTGGAGACAGGACAAGGGAAAATGGCCAGAAACTGCAGCATAGGAAGTTCCGCACAAACATGCGCAAGAACTTCTTTACAGTGAGGTGACGGAGCACTGGAACAGGCTGCCCAGGGAGGTGGTGGAGTCTCCTTCTCTGGAGATGTTCAAGACCTGCCTGGATGCCTACCTGTGCGGCCTACTGTAGGGAACCTGCTTTGGCAGGGGGGTTGGACTCGATGATCTCAGGAGGTCCCTTCCAACCCCTACAATTCTGTGATTCTGTGATTCTGTGGTGGAACATTACTGACGACTGCCATTTTAATGTTTTTTTTTTTCTCTTGACAAAAAATGAAACAAAAATAGCCAGCCAGTCAGTGGTGGATAAATTGGGTATTAAAAGCAGACTAAAGGAATTCTCTGTTCAGTAGCTTCTCTTTTATTCTACAGTTTTTGCGCCAAAGTGCAGTGGAAGAGCAGCAACTCCTGGAGGGTTTTATTTCCTCACAACCCCCCTCCTTTTATTTTTCACTTTCCTTCTGAAGTAGAGAATAAAATTCAAGGAACTGAGAATCACCAGAGGGTGGTGTATCCTCTGTACACCGCAGTATCAACAGTAATAATAATAACAATAATTAATAATTTGAAGAAATGGCCAACTCTGGGTCAATTCTGCTGCTATGGCATTCTTGCTCACATTTTCCTAGCATGAAAGTGGTTATTGAACAGTGCTAAGTGGCAGGATGATGGAGGTGGCTTCACCTTCACGAGCTGACATTGTGATAGAATCAACAATTGGTGGCAATGTGAGGAGTAAAGGTGACTTTGTTAAGCCAAGTTTAGCTGAAGGTCTTTTTCTCAGACTTCTCAGATGTGATAATTTGTAGTAAATAGAATGGAACAGACCTTGTAGGCATGCTCTCTTCAAGGAAAAGTTACTACGCTTTTGTTGAAAAGCTGTATTTGCAATTAGCAATTAAGGTTTAGGTGCCATCTGGTGGTGAGAAGACTGCTGCTAACCACAAAGCACAACCGTGGCCAAAGCCTGAAGGAAGATGATGGCACAGTTACGTTAACTTCGGCCGTTTTCCACTTGTCACCAGTAAAGGCACACTGTGAAAATCCTTGGTCTTCAGGAGGAGTGAGGGGTGAGCAAGTGCCTGCGGAGAGCAGGCCTGACTTAGAGCAGCCTTACAGGAGTCTTCTCTTCACAAAGCTGAATATCAGTTTTAACACAGATGATCACAGTCCATCAGTGGGTCAGCCAGTGCATCATCTCACAAGTGAATGTTAAATTTCAGAACGTTATCGTCACTTACCAGTCCCCTCTGATGGGAAGGGGAAGATGAGTAAGGGGAAAGGGGGAAAATGTGAGTAAATGCCAGCATGAGACTAAATGAGAAAAAAGAAGCATATTTAATTATTGTTTTCTGTAAAACTTTACAAATGTACAGCATAGTGCAAAAACACCCACCAAACACACGCAGTCTCAGCACGTCATTGTAAATTAACAATTTAAAAAGCCAAGGAACGCCAGCCTGCTTCTTCAGGAGTGGCTCTCAACGCTTTCCTGGACGTTACCCTCTCTCCATCAGGATCCAAGCTCATGTTGACAGTAGAGCAAAAAGCCTAAAGAAAATCCCAGGAACCACTCAGGAGCAGCTGCTCACAGTGCTTGCAGTCTGTGTACCGCAAAGAAGTGCTGCAGTGTAAGGTGGGGCCAGGCCCTTCGGCCCCTCGCAGCTCGGGCTGCCCCTCCTTGCAAGTAGTTCTCCTGAGGTGGTTTGTGTTTCAACCATAAATGGACACTGCAGTAAGGCATCCAAGCACGTGTCCAACTTCAGGCATGTGACAGACTTCATAAAAATAAATGAAAGCTGCTCAGAAGTTTGAAGTTATGCACGTGCTTAGACACCTTACTGAACCCGTATACATTCAGTGCTAACATGAAGGAATTGAGCATCTGAAGGTTCAAAGAAAGACATAAATCCTGAACAAGGATAACATACCCTGTCAGGTGAGGAGAGACAGCACACAGCTTCCCATGAGAAAGGAAGCAACTGGACTGCAGCTCAACAGATCTCCATTGGTTCAAGTGACAAAGTACAGAGCCAAGTGGGCCTGATCTAGATGAGCTCTCTGAGCACAAATCTGCCAAAAAAGAAACACTGTTCATGCTATTCTCAAGAACACCATCTAAATACCAGGCCAGTGGGGGCTGCCAGGTTTTTCCCTTAGTCCTGAACAGACAAACAGTGGATGGAATTAATTCAAAAGTTCTCACAACATCACTCTGCCAAGAGTGCCTCCAGGGTGATGATCGCCCCTCATAGCAGCCAGCTGGCAAAAATGAGCGTCTGAATTGTTCCCATCTGCTCACACGGTGATAAATGGATGGAGCAAAGAGCTGTGACAGGAAAGTCCATTTAAAATACGCACATCTTATTTAGGACATTTTGAGCCTATATTCATCTGATCAACCGTATATTTAGGTGGATGCTGCTTGGCCATTCTAGACGCTCAGGAATACACTTTAGTACCAAGAATCAACACGGTAGTGAAAGTTGGCAGAGCAGTTCTTCCAATGGAGTTGGCGTGGCTTACACGTCCCTGCCTGAGCCCTTGGAAGGCCTGAGTTAGGTGAATTTCCTGTGTCTGTCCCACTGCTTTTGGGTAGCTTTCTTAAGGAAAAACAACTCAATTAGAGGATACTGTGATAAATAATACATTCTCATTAGAACTACAGAATAAAAAACAAAGCTCTGCTTTGTTGAGAAACTCAGTTGTCAGAAACCACATGAAAGAGGAAGATTAAATGGGCCTGTAGAAGCTGGTTTCAGATGCACAAAATGCAGAAGAAAAGTCTCTGGGACACGGTGGAGTAACTCTTCTGCCTCTGTTGGACACTGAGGAAGTACCTGAAGATGAGAGCCCTTCTAAAAAGGGGCTCAAATCAATTAAACCAGTTAATCAGATTTCATACATCAACAAACCTACAGGCACATCTCCAGGGGTAACAGAGAAGGTCAAGGCCAAGGAGAAACACCACTGGACTGGACATGAAATATTTCTCCAGCACAAAAACCAAGAATAAACCAGTCCTCTTTGGAAATAAAAAACTGTGGGTGCAGAAGACTCCATCCTTTATTACAAGAATTAAAGCATGGGGTGCCCTGCCTCTACATTGCAGAAGATAAACTGGGGGAAAAATAACCAACAACCCTTTCAACTCAGGATGGGATGTTGTGGGGTGTATGATGCCTGCAGCTCCCCTTGGAGCCAAAAGCACCTCCTTGGAGGGATCACTCAGGAAACTATCTTCAGCACACCTTGAGGGAGTTTCATGTTCCCGCTTACACTGGGAAGACAGGGGAGAGGCACAAACACATCCCATCAAAAACAGAGAATAGATAATAAAAGAGTATTTCTAGAGCACTTGTCTGGTACTTAAAACTAATCTTCTATTGAAACAATGGCATTCAGAAGGGTCATGCATCTCTTTGCTGACCTGCTATTAACATCCCACAGTTTGTTGCTGCTGACACCACTTGGGATTGCTTTGTTCTGTGAGGTCCCTGATGAACTTCCAAGCTACTTTTCACTCAATTTTCTTAAAAAGTTTGACACCTGTAAAAGCATTTTGAAGAAAAACAGCTCCCACCACATTCCCGCTCCACGTAGGAACAAGCACCAGAAGCAGCATTTTGTTCTAAGACTATGATCCTGAGAGCCACTGAGCCTATGAAACACTGAGAGCCAGGGACAGGGCGTGCAGTGCAACAGCTACTGACCGTTCCAATCTACTCAAAAAGAAGGGGCACGACAACTCCCTTGTAGGTTTCCGAGTTGCTTTTGTTTTTTTACATTCAAACCTGTGGATGCTTGGGTGTGTGGGAGGGAGATGATGCCTTGGAAGTGACATCACTGGTTGTTATCAGTCGAAGAGCTCAGGTTTAAGGGGATGTCCCCTTGGACACCCCCGGAGGACAGATAGGAAGCCATGTTTTCAGATGGAATATACAGCGATGAACTTTCATGTAAGCTGATGATGTCGTTTCCAAAGACTGACTGCCGGTCAGTGAGGAATTGCTGGGAGCTTTCAAGGAGGACGTCTTTCCCTAGAAATGCAAACAGACAACAGAAAACTCAGTCCCTGGAAGGCACATTACAGCATTTATGAAAGTAGCATTGAAAAGGGGCAAATTCCTGCTGCACAAGGAGGGGAAGGACCTTGATTAAGGCAAAAAGTGCTCGGAAACACGTGAGTCCAGGGGTTCAGTCAAAAGACCATTAAAATCTGTGGAATTCTTTCCAGGTGGCCTAGGTGGGTCCTGCCTGAATACTGAGATGCCTTACAGGAGACATTGAGCGGTGAGTAAGAGACTCTTTCAATCTGGAACTGTCTGCTTTCCTTGCTTTTGCAATAGGAGACCTCCACCAATTGCCTTGTTATTCCAGCATCTCACCCCATGTGGACAAGAAAGGCTTC